TATTTTTGTCAAGGAATCAGGTCAAGAAAAGGCTCCATGATCCCATGGTCCATTTCACAGCTGACTCCAAAAAATGTACCTCATTATAAAATACACCTTCCCAAGGAATCACAAGTCATGAGAAATCAAAAGAGAATTCCTAAAAGCAAAAGCTCTCCAGCAGAAAATCAATTTCAGCTACTTTCACCTTGCCCCAGGGAAAGCATCAGAGACACTGAGTGGGGTGTGGGAAATGTCTCATACATCTTCCTGGAGCTGCACAAGGCAGACCTCCAGACAGGAGCTTTTCTTTCCAAGACAGCTCTGCTCTAATTAGGGACTCGTGTAAAATTAGTATGTTGCAGTTCCAGATAGTGTCTGGATGATTCCCACATCAAATTTCTTTGTTTTTAAAAAAAAAAAAATTGTCTTTGTCCTTGCTCTAATTGACAGCCTTACAAATGCAGGTGGACTGAGGGATGAAGGTCAAATTGAGCTTATTGTGCTTAATAGGGGAGGAAAAAAATTTAGCAGAAATTTACCCAGAGAAAGAAATGTTCCTTGATGTTTGTTATTTTTCCTGACCATCATGTTTCCTTTTCAAGGGTCTTCATGCATTTTTGGATATACCTTCAGAACGAAAAGAAAGCAATTGCTTTTAAATAAAATTGTTATATGACGGGCTTTCCTGTAATACTTAATCTACAAATGTATCAGACAGAATCTAGTTTATAGACTCAACAATCTGTATTGGGTGGACATAAAATTAATTTTCTATATAGGAAAATACATCCTGCTCCATAGTTGACCTTTTCCAAAGGCAGGCTGCCAGTTTAAACCTCTGGCTGGTTCCTGTAGTTCTCAGTATTTAGACCTTTCTGGGTAATATGGTATTGTTAAGGCTGGTCAACATGTTCAAAAAACCCCACATTCTCCCTTGGAAATGAAGTCCAAATGACATTTCTCACTGAAGGTTGTGATTAATATAATTTGTGCATTCCAGCAAGAAGGCAAAACAATTTTCTTTTTCGGGTCCATATAAATTTCTGTGTCTTAAAGTTATTTGCTTGCTTCCCATCTCTCATTTACTGTTTTGTGCTTCAGACTCAGACTGTGTCTTCTACACTGACCTGTGCTGCTACAGTTCAGCCTGGGAACAGCTATGGCAATTTACTCCCAAAGAGCAAAGGTGTGCAGAACTTCTTCCTTAGAGATACAAGCTGTGAGATGGCAGCCAGCTTGACAGACACAGAATTAATAAGAAACAAATAAATAAATAGAGAAATAAATAGAAGAGATTGGTGTCTGTGCCTCTTTTTCCCCTCATGAGGAAGTTGTAGACTGCAATGAGGTCTCCCCTCAGTCTCCTCCAGGCTGAACAAACCAAGTCACCTCAGCCACTCCTCATATGGATTCCACCCAAGGCCCTTCACCATCTTTGTTGCCCTCCTTTGGATACTCTCTAATAGTTTATTTTCTTTTTCATATGATGGCACTCAAAACTGCACACAATATTCAAGGTGAGGCCGCACCCATGCAGAGCAGAGCAGGACAATCCCCTCCCTCGACCGGCTGGCGATGCTTTGCCTGATGCCCCCCAGGACACAGCTGGCCCTCCTGGCTGACAGGGCACTACTGACTCATATTCAACTTGCCATCAACCAGGACACCCAGGTCCCTTTCCAAAATCTTATTCCCCAGTCTGTACATACCTCCGGAGTTGCCCCATCCCAGGGTCATAATCTGGCACTTTCCCTTGTTGAACTTCATATGGTTGATGATTGCCCAGACCTCTAATTTGTCAAGGTCTCTCTGCAGGGCCTTTCTACCTTTGAGGGAGTCAACAGCTTCTCCAAGTTTTGTATCATTTGCAAATTTGTTTAGTGTCCCTTCCAGTCCTGTGTCCAAGTCCTTTATGAAGGTGTTGAAGAGCACAGAGCCTAAGATGGAGCCCTGCAGGACCCTGCTAGCGACAGTATGATGTTACCTCATTCACTATTACCCCCTGTGCTTGACCTGTGAGCCAATTGCTCACCCACTGCATGATGTGTTTATCCAGCTGTGTGCTTGACATTTTGTCCAGAAGGATCCTGTGAGGGACAGTATCAACAGCTTTACTGAAATCCAAAAATATTACATCAGCTGGCTTCCCTTGATCAACTAGGCGGGTTACCTTTTCATAAAAGGAAATCAGGTTTGATAAGCAGGACTTTCCTCTCATGAAATCATGCTGACCAATTACTGCATTGTCTTTTCAGATATTTTTCAGTACTTCCCAGAATAACCTTCTTCATAACTTTCCCAGGCATTGAAGTGAGACTGACAGGCCCGTAGTTTCTGGGGTCCTCCCTCTTGCCCTTCTTGAAAAGTAGGACAACGTTCACCAGCTTCCAGTCAACTGGGACCTTTCTGGATTCCCAAGACTGCTCAAAAACCACTGAGAGAGGTTTGCAATGACATCAGCCTGCTCTCAGAGGATTCTGGGATGAATCCTATCAGGCCCTGTAGATTTGTAGGGATCCAGTTGGACTCAATAATCTTTGTGGGTTCCTTCCAACTCAACATATTCTGTGATTATGTGATTCTGTGAAATAAATAAATAAATAAACAAAGGTAAACAGGGAACATTCCAGTTTGTCTTAAGATTTTTTTAGAATAATCTGTGAAAAGTTTCAAATCTTAAAATTTTCATTCCCATGTGCGAGAAAGGCACCCGAATATGTGAATTTTACATGAGATGGCCATTTTATGACTCTGGTCTGCTCTAAAACACAATTTTAGGTTATCACACGGTAGAAAATCACTTTGGACTTCATACTTCTGTCAGGCCATGTTTTTTATAGGTGGGCTCTGACTCTCTGCAGCTGTTTCTTGGCTCAGCCCAGTTGAAGTCACTACAACTTGCAGCACTGCAGTAACTTATCTCAGTCAGAGATGCATTCCTAAATTCTAATGAATATTCCAATAGCAGTGGAAATACAGTCATCTTTATTACAAATGAACACCTCAACAGAACATCCTTAAAAAGAATCACAGAATCATAAAATAGAATCATAGAAAGTCTTGGGTTGGAAACAACCTTAAAGGTCATCTACTTCCAATCCTCCTGGTCATGGGCAGGGATGCCATTCACTAGATCAGGTTGCTCAGGACCCTATCAAACCTGACCTTGAACACTTTCAGGGATGGGGCATCCACAATTTCTCTGAGCAACCTGTTCCAGTGCTTCACTACCCTCTGAGGAAGGAATTTCTTCCTAGCGTCTACTGTAAACCTGTCATCTCAACCCCTCTTTTCCCAGCTCTCTCAGTCTGTCTTTGTAGGAGAGGTGCTCTGATCCTCTGATCATCTTTGTGGTTCTTTTCTGGACTCGCTCTAACAGGTTCATACCATTCTTATGTGAGGACCCCAGACAAGGTGGGATCTTAAAAGCTCAATTCATAGTTTACTAGAATTTAAAATGGTATCACTTGTGATGTTGCACTGCTTGTCCTCCTTCAGGATGGCCTGATGACCCAACAGTCTTTCACAGAGCATCTAATATTGAGACTTGTAATGATTTCAGGTCAACTGACCTGAGTTGGAAGCAGCTGTATAGCAAAATACTGTATAGCAAAAGAAAAAGGTATCAATGCCTGTGGCTGCTCACAAACATTACCTGAGTATCATTTAGGATGACTGCCAAGGCAATCCATGGCCAGTGCTAAAAAGCATGGAGAGTCCTGCTGATTTGCACTGTATGACAGGAGGTGGTGGACGCATACATAATGCTAACCTGGGGAAAAAACTGACCTTGAAGCAGCGCAGAAACTCTACCAAGCAGGTGTATAAGAGGATTTTTCATATCATCTCACAAATCCACCCTGTATTCTCACCAGCTGTGCTCAATCTCTGATGCTCCAGAGGAAAGCGAGAGAAAACCCCAGGACACCCTGTGCTAATTGTGGGGGGAAGGAACCTACCTGCATCTCAGAGCCAAAGCCCTGAAGGAAGAGACCTGATTATGCTTTGCTTTACATGCTGAGCTGTACGGGTTAGGAGCACACACAGGATGAGGACGGCTTCATCAGAATCTCCTTTCACAGTGGAGAGACGGGCCTCTCTCCTCTCCCTGGAAGCATATTTGCACACAGGAGCAGCAGTTGTCCCTTTATGCAATGCAAAAAAATTCCAGGGTCTTCCCTGACTGACATTTGTTAGATAAGATCGTAGGTACAAAATACCCTTCACAATATACAATAACCTTCAAAGACACGCCAGCAACCTCCTATGAAGTGTGCCAGGCTGGCGTAGCGGGGGTAGGATGCTACAGCGAACACCTCGCCAGCAGGACGTTACCTGCATACTAATGCCGAGGGTGTTTGAGCTCAGCCTGGCAGCGAGAGCGAGCGCGGCTCCAGCAGTTTCCATGGTGCTGTCATGGTGCGCTCTCCCTACACCTTCACTCATCAGCATTTCCCACCCATCCTCCTCCCTGTAATAAGCTGCTTGCTCACCCTGAAAGGTCAGCCATTGTAATGATGATTTTAGCAGGGGGAGGCAGGGAGGCCGAAGGGTGAAAAGGTGAGTGCTGAGCAGCGATGTGCGTGGGAACTGGGGGCTTGCCTTGCGCTGCACAATGAGAAATTAGAAAGCTTCCCCTCGAGGGAGCCGTGCTTATCAACCCCCTCTCACTTCCCAGGCCAGCCCAGTCAGATGCCCTGATGGAGTTAAAAAATGTTCATGCTAAGTGGCTGGAGACTCTACTCTAAATCATAGGCATCTCATCGGCAACTGATGCATCAGCGTGTGGAGGGGCGAAGGGACTGCCTCTGCCAACAGAGGAAACTGATACAAACGTTTCCAGGCGTCTGTTTCTGGTTTTGTTGGGTTTTTTTCTTTCTATTTTTCTTCTGTCCCCTCCCAGCAAGCCCAGCGCTCGTTTGCAGATGGAAAGAGGCAGATTCTTCCTCTGACTTTCATCCTATTGACTGCCGGAGTAAAGCACTACGACTCTTAACTGCCTTTCTTTCTTTCTATAGGACAGCTTTCCTGCACGTTTTGGAGGAGTCCATTTTGTCAATCAGCCCTGGTACATCCATGCCCTGTACACGCTAATCAAACCGTTTCTCAAAGACAAGACAAGGAAAAGGGTAATTAGATGGGGGTCGGGTGATGGAGGGTGGATAGGAAGCTGCAGACCTGGAGTAACAGAGTAGCTGCCTGCTCTCTTCTTTTTCTCTCTGCATTTTGCATATAGCCTCAGAGAACTGCTGCTGTTTTTAAACCTTAGGGTTTTCAATGGTCTGGAATAAATCAATAACTCTGCTAGGGACCAGAAACCCGTTGTCACTAACAAAGTGTGGATACATTTTACTGGGACATGCCCAGGGATAGAAGAGAATCATCAGTGTGGAGGGATTATTAGGCCTGACTGAAGTTGCTTGCAAGTGAAGGAAACTTCAGCTCAACTCTTTTTGTTGGAGTAAAAATTCCTATTTCATTCCTTCAGGAACTTGACTGTTTTCACATGGTGGTAACTCACATGTTTCCTCAAAAAAATGCCCATGCCTGAAGGCTGTTTTCTGATACTGCAGAAGAGGCAGATCTTCTCCACTGAAACCCATGTGAATTGTGGTCTGGCAGTCATCTTAGACATTTGTTCTCTGCAGTCTATCAACCAATGACTGGATCATCCCTCAGGAGGCCCCAGAGCCCACCCTGAGTTATGCCTGACTAGGCAGGACAAGGGTAGAACCAGCCTGAAAGCAAAGAGGGATTAGAGAGACAGATGGTGCTGAAGCAGCGCAAAGTGGCAACACAGCCTGGTACACCCCTGGGAAATGTCAGTCCTGGAGTGCAGAGCTGGTTACCCTCTCAGATGCTGAAGACCTACTCTTCACATCTATTTTCAGTAAGATCTGCTGTCACCCTTTTCTTCTCACTTCTCTAACCTCTTACAGTAGCGATAATCAGTCATAACTCCTGACTTCCACTTCTCCTGATCTGGCACTTAAGAAATTGAAAGTGTCATGCGCTAAAAGCAAGGCAATCGGAATTTTCAGAAGTATTTATAGTGCCAGGCTAACTCTTCAGCTGCCCACCCCAAAGCTAATACCCACCTCCTCATCCACCGAGCCAACCCTGAGGGCTTTAGAAATTCCCACGTGAAACTGCACTGTCAACTAATGAAACTCCACACGTCATTAGTGCTGCTATTATTGTGCTTAATGAAGTAAGGAATCGATGATGACTTTGAACTTTCTTTTATTTGTTAAAGATCTTTCTTCATGGTAACAACCTGAACAGTCTTCACCAGCTAATACACCCTGAATGCCTGCCCTCCGAATTCGGGGGGACTCTTCCTCCCTACGACATGGGCACATGGGCTCGAACGTTACTTGGTCCCGACTACAGCGACGAAAACGAGTACACCCACACCTCCTACAACGCCATGCACGTGAAGCACGCGTCCTCCAACCTGGAGCGGGAGGCCTCGCCCAAACCCATGAAAAGGTACAGTACTGCCTTTGAAATCATCTCTTATTTGGCTCTCTGAACAGGTTTGGCATAAGTCTCACAGGAAGGGCTCATCTGGCTCAAAGAGAAGCTGTAATTTGGCAAATGTTGATGGTAGGGAGCCCTTCACCCTGGACTGCGCTCATGGTGTGGTGGGAGAAAGGAAGCCTCTCAGTGGAACCGTAATTACTTGTCTGATTACTGTGCATGAAAATGAGGGGAAATTAATGAGCCTCTGCACAGAACATTACAGAAAGTATATCAGAGTGAGACGCTGTTCTGTACGGTGCAGTGCAACCAGCAGCACTGCTTCAGTGCTGGTCCCTATTACTTGCCTCTGCTTTGCTGCTGCTGACCCAGTTGTTATCGATAAGGGATTTACCTCCTTAGAAATGTGGCTGTTGTACGATGAACACTGCCCTCTAAAGGGAAAAGGGGTTGGTTTTCTCCCTCTGCTTCTGCTCCCGCTGGCTTCATCAAGCCCTGTAAAGGCAGCTGCAGAGCTGTTCTTTTAAGAGCTCTGATTTTAGTTCTAGTGATTGTGCATTTAGCTCTGAATGCTCAAAATAACACCTCTGGAGAGTATCACCCTCAGCAGTTTGGACTGATTCCGGGGATGCAGTCAGGAAGTTGGATACCTGGCACAGGGCTGTGGGTGGTATGGCTTAGCCAACACCAGCTGCAGTGAGTGGTGGCCAGGTCAGCTCCCCTGTGTGAGTCTAACATCTGCGCTCGCCTCACCCTTGGCATCCCACTCCGTGAAACTGCTTTCCATGGAGATTGCAGTGATGCTTTCCTCGCTGCTGCCACTTGATGAGTGCAGTGCTAACAGGCACAGCATCACTCTCTCTGACAGGGAACGGCCATCATTTTGTCACAGCAAAATCAAAGCTGACAATACAGACAAGCCATAATGTCATGCAATTAATTTTAAAAGTCTTTCATCTTCAGAGGAAAAAGAAATGCATTCTTGATTCACAGCTCCCTCCCAGGTCAGAGGGATGCCACACAGCTGTGTCTGCAAAGTGAGGCCTCGTGCAGGAAACACAAACACTTATGACCGACATCAAGGGCTCACAGGGCCGCAAGACTGAGGGGCTATGAACTGCAGCCATTGCACTGTCAGCTGCATTGTCAGCAATTCTTACTACTGACTGCCAGCCAAGACTGGGAGCTGGGTTGAGTTTACAGAGCCTGTCCCAGAGAGCTGATTTTAATTTATTTTTTTTTTAATATTGACAGTGAAACAGAATAATCTTAGAAAAATACTGACTAAATATTTCATTGTTATTAAAACACATCTCAAGAGTATACATTTTAGCTTTATAGAAAGAAATTTGTAGGTTTTTAAAGCTCCAAAGTGTTAGGAACTGCTCACAGGTAAACCCTTGCTGAGGAGAGGATCCGTGACTGCGAAGGAGGGAGGATCTTATCATGCCCTTAGGGAAGAACCTCGGCTTGAAAATTAGTTCAGTGCCAAAAAACCCTGCCTTGAGGCAAAGCCTTCTTTTATAATCTGTTCACTAATACAAAAGAATATTAATACAAATATGGGGAGTGGATGAATCTAATTTGTCATGTTGCCTCTGGGCAGACTAGATCTAACTTTTAGCCTAATTTTGTTACTCAGCAGTTAAGTCAATCATCTGATCTTGCACCCTGTGGTCATTATTTGTTGTTAGAGGTGAAAAGTTCATGGCTTCAACAGATTTTCCCCTCTGAGTATTTGCTTTGATTCTTCTTCCCCTGAAATTATGGTTTGGCCTAAGCATAGGTAAAAGCCTATGCTCAGAAAGCATGATTGTGTGCTTTATTAGATTTGTTAGACCAGATTTATATCTAAGGCATCTTAAAAGGTCTCCAGACTTCTACCAGCAATACTTGTCTTTATATATCTCCCCTCCTTGCCTCTTTAGGTTCATATATCTCTAAGACAATGAGAAACTCAGGCTATGGCTGAGATTCCTGGTTACTCCAGGGAGGTTTACACTGTACATAGGTGATCTCCTAACATTATTCTTCATCTTAAATATAAGTCCCTCACAATTGTCCTATCACTTCTCCCCTTATTAAAGCAATTTTGTAGTTTCACTGAAAATCTCTCCTCTACTCCTCCACTCACAGCATACATTTTTAGGTAACACGTTAATTTTGTGTTTCTCTGGTGAAATGTTGGGTTTAACAAAAAAAAAAAAGGTCAAGGTCACTGACCTTTTCTTTAGCAACTTATTCCTCTGAAAGGGATAAATATATAAAGACTGAACCTTCTTAGGTTTCTACAATTTAAGGATGAAAAGCCTTGCTGAACAATTATGGGTCCTCTTCTCTCTGACTTCCCAGGTGTCACTGCAGGTTTACCTGCCCAGTAATCCGTTGCAAGGAAGGGCAGTGCTTATGGGAGGTAGATTTATCCAGAAGTCTGGAGCTACAGTGGTTTTTCCCCTCTATGGCACTGTCCTGCTGCATGACATGGTGCAGAGTTGCAGCCCCTCCTGACTCTGTGGCCACTTGATGCAAAGCCACGCAAGCGCATCCTTGCTTGAGCTGCCACTGGACCAGTACTGTATGAAAGCATTCTTAATCTTTGAGCTCAGTGCTGCTATAGTAACTGAGTCTTGCACTGTGACCACAGTGCATTCCCTGTGGAATGAAGTGCTGCCATCCCCTACAACTAAATATTGTTGTCACCCTGGGCACAACCTACTCCAAATATAGTGTGCAGAAATTTTAGTAGCAGAGATGCTGAGAAATCAAGATATGATTTATATATCTTGAAGAGAAGTGACAGGAAATGGAACCAGAGAATAACTGTTGTAACCACTTAATCTCTGTTAGCAAATGAATGCAGAGTGGGAGAAAGAGGGAATTTTCAAGAGGTGTCTGAGACCAAACTGAAGTCACAGCCTGAAAATTAAAATAAACCTCAAAATGCAGACCAGGAAAAAACACAGCACCAAGCAGCAGTGGGAGGGGCTGAAGCTGGAGCAGGTACATGCCTGTATGTTGGGTTTGGGACTGGCAGCAGTGCTTTGGCTCCCATCATCAGGGCAGGTGCATATAAATTGAAACAAGTTCACCTGAGAGTTGTGGGAGACTGAGGAGGGTGGAGAGCGTATTTTTTCAGCAAGAAGCTATAGGAGACAGTGCTTCGTTCAGTCTCTCAGAGCAAAGGTTGAAATGGATTTGAAGGGAATAAAAACTGGGGACAGAGAAACAGGTATTTGAGAAAAAGGACAACTCAGGCACGGAATCAAATAGATATAAGCTGATCAAAGTATACCCTGGCTGCAAATGAGAGTTGGTTTGCTAGTTATCATAGGACTGAAACAGCGTGCCAATATGACAGTCTAACTGATACACAAGTGAAAGGTCTAATATGAACAGTTGAATATGAAGTGGCTACGGGAGACTAGACTTGCCTGTCAAAGTCTCATTAGGTTCCAATTTCTGGGACCAGAATGCGACCTTCTTCCTATTCACAGGCAGGAGTGGTTTTTCCCTGTGACTTGAACTTGCACAAGATTTATTCTCAAAAAAGAGTCCTTGTTGATTTCAAAGAATGGAGGCATTGTAGACGGGGATAAGGGTTGATAATCCTCTTAGAAAAAGACTGCCACTGACTCTAGCCACTGACATAGTCTTAAAAATTTTGAGATTGACAAGTTTCTATAATATGGAAAATCTTTAATCAAAACCATTGCAATTTTTCCACCAGTGGCCACATGAAGCCCCACTGGGGCAAAATCAAAACAGTGGAAATTGCACTCCCATCTGCAGTGTTATCTCAGAACCCAAGGACTGTATGAACAGATGGGAAACAAAGCAAAACAGCTGATGACTCCACATAATGAGTCTTAATGGCCAGAGGGAGGGGGAGGAAGCAACAATAACAAAAATTCATTCAGAATATATGTTTATTAAGATTCAGCTCAGTGAAGTCTGAAATGGGCAAGGTAGTAAACATGCAAACCAGCACTGATACAGTAGTAGCAAAGTTTGTTTAATCCAAGGGCTTGGCCACATCCATTAGACAGTCCTGCGAGCAGCAATGGCAACAGATCCTTCCCCTGTCTTGGTCCATCTCTTCTGAAGGGCCTGCATCCACACAGGGAGCCTGTCACTTATGAGCTTTGAGATTTGAGAGCAATGTAAATGGTGTGGCAATTTGGCGTACAGGGAAGAAAGTCACCTCCCTCTGAGCTGTGGCCAAATATTCTGTGAGCCCTGATGGTCAGAAAGGGGCCTTGGGTTGCTTTAATCTACAGGGAGCTCGCACAAAAGCAAAGCGTTTGCCTGAGGCGCTCATGCTGGCTTTTGTTGATGAGCTGTTGTTTTTAGGAACAGCTGGAGGTTTTATCTGGATGTGCAGTTTAATGAATAGTTATGGTGGGTGGTTAAGCCTAGCAGTTAAAGAGTCAGGGACTGCTCTCTACATATCACTGTGCCAATAGGGCATAGTTTTTTGGTCAGCCACAGTTGGAGAAGCATGCCTGTAGTTATTCGAGTACCTAACCGCAGTGGGTGAGCATCCCTAGCTGGAGGGATGGATTCAGTGACGGGGGAAGATGTGAAGGAGCTCAGTTCTTTGAAGAGTTTCCTTTTTTCCCCAGTGTCACCCTTGCTCTTACACTCAAGTCCAGCAGCAAAAAGTAAATTGCAGCAGCACATTACCTCCGTGTCACTTGCTTCTGCAGCTGCATCTGGGTCACTTCTTGATGTCTGAACTGGGTCTTCATCCAAGTGACAAAGAGTGTTCTCTGCCTTTGCTTGTTCCCTGTGCAGGCACCGAGCACAGCCTGTGAGCTGAATGTTCTTTCTCTGCCTTCCCAGGCACCAAAAAAGTGCTTGCTTTTAGCTTGCTGCTGGTGCAAATAGGCCTGAAAACCTACTGCAATTTACAATTGCCCTTCAGAGAAAGGAAATTTTACCTAACAACTACATATTTATTCTGGCCAAACAGTCTGTGCTGTTTAATGAAATTTATTTAATCAAAGTTT